GACAACCCCGTAACAATATGCGTTTTGTACTGCTGTTACACAGCACAAAACGCATAATAAATAGCAGCACGCGCCTGAATAGCCGATACGATCATGTGTTTTGTGCAATTTCGCCTCCCGAACGATTGTCAGTTAATGATTTTCACTGCTTTGCACTTTAGTTTGTACAAAAATAGACGAAACGTTGAAAAATAGCCAAAAATTCCACGGACCGGCATGTGGAAGCTGAATTTTAAACCGTGGAAGGTGAATATCCATCCAAAATTTCAATCTCCTAATTTTTTGGCTTTCCAGTGATTTTTACGATAAAACTTACACTTGTTCGTACGAGACAAGTCGGTAAACTTAGGAACTGAATTCGAGTTTGTTAAGCCTCTGCCTAAAGGCGAAAAACATTCTTCTGCAATTTTCGGTCTCCTAGTACTTCTAATTTCCGAGATAATGAGTTTTCTCACCAAAACTTCCATGGGGACGTTGGAAATTTGCGGAGTTGCACGTGGGCAAGAGATGCCACGCTAAAACCCCAGCTTCCTAAATTCTGTGGCCCCCGAGATAACAGTTTACCTGCCAAAATTTTTACGGTGCCATAGATGATATTCCAAAACGCGGGTACGCTGAATTCGGATTTGCAGGATCGTTCGTGGGCAGAGAGTCATTTCCCCAGAATTTCAGCTTCCTAGACTTCGTGGTTTCCGAGAAAATAACTTACCCGTCAAAATTTTTACGAGAACATAGGTGATGCCCGAGAGCGCGGTAACGCTAAATTTGAGTAAGGTCGTGTGTAAACAGGAGACACGCCTATAAAATTTCAGCCTTCTAGTTTCTGTGGCCTCCACGACAATAATTTTACCCGCCAAAACTTTTGCAGGGCCGTACATGTTACCCGCAGGCAGGAGAAGGCTGAAATTAAATTTGCGAGGTCAGACGTGAGTGGGGAACATTCCCCGAAATTTTCAATTCCCTAGCTTTTATGGTCCCCGAGCTGAAGTTGCGGACAAGTTGTTGCGGACACAAACGCACACACACACATATATATATATGTATATATATGCATATATATACATATATATACGTATGTATATGTATATAGACAACTCCATGACAATATGCGTATTCTACTGCTATTACACAGCACAAAAGCATAAAAAACAAACAAAACACTCAATTTTGAATAATAATTATGGCAAATACTGCTCATCAAAATATTAGCAGGCATTATTTTGCGCTCTTTACTAGTAAGAGGAATAGTTGTGACAGCTGTAAATCATCGCCCAGTTCTTTTATTACAGAGCTAAAAACTTTTTCAGTTGCTTTGACCAATGCTGCATCACTGACAAGCCTACTAGTGGTCCTTATGTTCGTCCCGTCTACTGAGACAGCTACAAACTCAACTTTTTTCAGAAATGCCTGATATGCCCCTTATATGTGCTTCGAGATGCCTCTGGTATGTGTCAAGCAGCACTCTCTCCCAGATTACAGCTGTTTTGAACATTGCTACTCATCGGTCGCAACTGTGTTTTATACAGTAGAGCTGTTTACAAAAAAAAAAGTGAATTCTTAGTTTTTATTGCCTAATATTTGCATATTATAACAGCTAAATGCTAAAATCAACAATGCTTTAAGTAAAGGTTTTCGGCTGATATCGATAATAAAATAATTGGCGAGTGCACCGATTGCCGGTGCGAAGATGCTTTTTTTGCACAGTTCCCGCACACTTTTGTCGTTAACGGCACTATTGTTCCGGCAAATGCTTCTTGCTGAAAGAATTGTGACTGCCCACCACAGCTGTCAGAAAATACCCTTAAAATTTCATTAGCAACTTATCCGCCAAAAGTTTTCACGAGCCCGTGCATGAGAACCACGCAAAACTTGAGGTTGAGTTTGAAGTCATTAGGTTCTACAGGGTCGGGGGATGTCCCCATAAAATTTCACCCTTCTAGCTTCCCTGGTTCCAGAGTTAGCAACTTGCTCACCAAAAATTTTCACGGGCCTGTACGTGAAGACTACGCAAAAGTGGGAGCTGGATTTGAATTCATTAAGTCTTACGTGGACAGGGAAATCCTCTTACAATTCCAGCACTCTAATTTTTCAGGTTCATGAGCTAGTAACTTACTCCTCAAAAACTTTTACGCCCCGTACGTGGGAACTACGTTGGCAAGAGTGTCCCTTTTGGGGATTGGTGGGCCGTACATGCATGTAGATTAATATCCCAAAGTTTCAGCCTTGTAGCTCTCCTAGGTCTCGAGATGAAAAACCAGTACTGACGCACACATAGACAAACCCTCGACAATATGCATTTTTGCACTGCATAGATGCAAATAATTGGCCAGTGCACCGACTGCCGGTACGAAGATGCGCTTTTTGTACAATATCCGGCAGGTTTTTGTCGCTAACGGCACCAGTTTTTTCAGCAGATGCTTCTTGCTAAACGAACTGAGACTGGTGCCAAGAATGTCGGGAAACATCCCCTTAAAATACCAGCCTTCTGGATTTGCTGTTTCCCGAGTTAGCAACTTACCCGAAAAAAACTTTCCAGAACCTTAAGTGAGAATCACACGTACCCGGGGTCTAGGTTTGAACTCATTAAGACCTACGTGGGCGGAGAACACCCCCTTAGAATTTTAGCTTTCTAGCTTTTCTGGTTCTCGAATTAGCAGATTGCCTATAAAAAACTTTGGCGGTTCCGTACGCGGGTACCATATGAGTAAGAGCACCCATTTTGGGGGTGGGAGCCCGCACATGCATGTAAATTAAATTCCCAAAGTTTCAGCCTTCTAGCTTTTGCAGGTATCGAAATGAAAAACAGGTAGAGACGAACACACAGATACATCGACAACCTCTAGACAATATGCATTTTCTGCATTGCACAGATGAAAAAAAAATGCATAAAAACGGATGAAAACCTCAAAAAGTGCAGTTTAATAAGAAAAAAAGCAGAAGAAAAAAACTCCTGTCCCAATCTACCGCTCACTGCAACTCACTGCAACTTTATTCTCAGTGAACCGTAATGCTCCCACTGAACCCTTTTAGGTGGAGTTTTTCCAAGCTAACTTCTTGAGGTCAAGCACACATGGGTGAGAAATATCACCAGTGGCCCTTGCAGCACTGCTAACCACGACCTCACGAAAAGTATTACATAACAGGTTAGGCACAACACGTCCGAGTGGGGAAAGAGGTTTTTGTTGCTAATGGGATTGTTTTTCCTGGCAAATGCTTCTCTCTAAAAGAACTGAGACTGGCCACCATGTATGTCAAAAATTTTGCAATGGCTCCAATCCCTACTCAAAAAATTCAATACTCCAGGTACTCTATTTGCGGAGTTACGCCAAACTTCACGTTTCCGCATAGGAGGAGAAATGTGAATGCTGTTTTCGGGCGTGTTTGCTCAATCACGGTTTTGGACCATGCTCAGAAAATTTCAGCGCCCTAACTGTTTTGGCTGCGGATTTACATCAAATTTCACATATGTGTACGTTAGACATGAAAGTCGTTTTACGTCCACCTTGTCAAATGCCGCCGTCGATTATGTTCAAAAAGTTTCAGTCCTCTAGCTGCTTCAGTCCTGAAGTTGCAAAACTGCCTGCATGAAATTTCCACGTGTCCGTAAGTGAGCCGCAAAAAGGCTGGAAAGCTCAGTTTACTTTCATGGGCACATCGATAGGCAACAAATAACGCTGCAAAATCACAGCTTTCTAGCCTAAACCTGGAGCTGGCACGATGCCAACTTAAACTTTAACGTGTGCGTACTTGAAATCTGAAAGTGTGTGAAGGCTGAATTTGAAATCTTTGGATTAGACATGGCCAAGGAAATCTTTGTGAAGTTTCAGCCTTCTAGCCCACGCTGTTCCCAAAATAGCTTCCTGGTTAAAAAAACTTTGAGGTATCCGTACGTGAGAACAACGGGAAAGTGAGCATCGATTTTGAGGATAAAAGCCCGCACGTATGTGTAAATTAAGTTGCCAAAGTTCCATCCTTGTAGCTTCTGTAGATCCCAAGATGAAAAGCCGGTACTGATACACATCCAGACACACACACACACAACCCATCGACAATATGCGTTTTTGCATTGTATGGATGCAAAAAAAGCATAGAAAGCGAACGAATAAAGAGCATAATTCCAAAAATTAATGGTCACTTATTTCCAAGATAATTTTTGTTGCCTGAAGAAGCCATACGTATTACTGAAAAACTTCGATTAAGCGGTCCACCTCAAACAACAGTGATACCTGTAGAGATAATTGAGATGCAGGCGGTGATATTTCCGATGGGGGAATCGAGCTGTTAAATGCGCCCGATCGTAGATATAGTCAATCAACTCCGAAAGCTTGTAGCAGTGAGGGCCAACAAATTCGTATGTTTTACCGACAGCATTCTGATCAACGATCGTTCGTTCAACGCCTTTCGATACATCTCCTATCTGCAGTGCCAGCAGAATCGATCAAAAATTTTGGAGCAACAATTCGTGACTAATTTTGAAATCATATGAGAGCCCAGTGCAGACAAAGTTGGTTGCATAATGACAAGCCTCAAATCGCGACAAGTTTCACCGAATCTAACTACAGGGTGTATTATATTACTGACCCATCACGCAAAGCTGCTTGAACAGATAAGTCGATTGAGAATACGGGTTGACCTTGGATGTCAAAGTGTCGAAAGCGTACTGAATACTCAAAGTAGGACAGAATGAGGAAAGAAGGCAAAAAAGAGGTAAGACGTTTCGGCACATTAAGTCATATACGTCTTAACACTGCGACAGGACCTCGTCAGTATAGCGGTCGCAGCATTTAATGAAAAAGAGAAAAGAAAAAGAGATAGATAAAGATGCAAGGAAAGAAAGGGAAGGGTAGGAAAGAAAGATAAATTATATGCATAATTAAAATGCATAGCCTTTTTTTTCTTTCACCACTTTGTTTTTAATGAAAAAGTGCTGAAAATGTATACAGTACGCAATCATACTCTATAACAAGTTACGACTCTGCGCTGGAAAGCAGCAAAGATTACCCAGACAGGCATTTTGTATGTGTGTTCGCCTTTCTTGTACACGTAAACAACGCTTCTGTATGGAATTCGTTGTAATGCCAAGAAGTAATTGATGAATACATCGTAGTTACCACCGTACATCATTGATGGTCTAAAAATAACATTACTTGAGGCATCATCCACTACCACAAATGAATGGGCTCATCGCATAACTTTCTACTTTTTCGAAGTCTGATGTGAACAATCTACTTATGCAAACTGGCTAGTTACAGATGGATTCTTTGACCAACTATTATCTCATCTTTAAGCATCTTCACATCATTTGCAGTGGTATGAGCCATCTTTGATTTCCGCATGCCCCTTGTAAAGCTTTATTCTCGAAAAGATCTCTGTTTTAGTCCAAATTCTGTCACTTTAAATTTTATTCCTCCTATCGATTCTTCGTTTCGTATACCAGCAGCATAATGGCACCGGCGGAAGAGTAGTGTATGCTTCCCCACCAAACCAACAGCGCTCCCAAAAACAATCAAGTGGTAAATGCACCGACACTATTCATGCATACAGCAATTCTTCTCCCTCACCAGCCTCAGCGGCAAAATGGAGTACTGAAACAACTGCTTTTTTTCGTTTCTGCAACTGGCAATTTTTCCAGTTGCACTGACCTCAGCTGCGTCGCTTGATGGTCAACCTGCTGGCAAGCCTTGTAATATTACTAAGAAGCTGGCAACACCATCTTTTGGCAAAATTCATATAACATAACCAAATAAATTTCCCAGCAAGGCTGATGATAAGTCATGGCACAATTTTTGTGTTTTTGCAGTAAAATCAATTCCAATCAACAGTATCTTTGATATCATCTTTCTTCACAAATACAGTACAACAAATATACTTCTTCCTGTGATGTACCGTTATTGTCTTATGTTTTTTTATCCGGAAAATCTCGTGAGTGCTACGTAGTAACACATTTCTGGGATGCGCGAGAGCTTTAGTAAAATCACTAACATCGGATTCCCACCCTGTCAGTCGAACGACCTTAATTATATCAAGACCGTTTGGACTATTAGCGAGGGCATCCCATGTTAATGATGTCATTAGGATGCTCCACAAGTCAAGCGCAGCAGTGTTCTTCGTTATATTGGTAATAAAGAAAATACTGCATGTGATTTCAAGGCAGAATAAATTATATACTAGGCAGAATAGACTACATAAATTATATACTGATATGTGCACATAATAAAGCTGTCCTTTGTGAAAAATGAGATTTCCGAATGACAGACCTTACGATTGTTGCTGTGGGAAATTCTTCACGAACAACTTCTTCGCCGATTCCTTTGGTGCGCAGAAATTGCGAAGGCTTGTTGAAAAGTGTTGGTGGAGTATCTCTGGATGCATTCATTGCTGACATGTGTATGAACCTGAGAAAACCAATCTCTTGTTATAATTAATTATAAACACTAAGCAGTAGTCATATATTTTACAAAGTATTAAGTCAGTGCTCATTACTTTTCATTATTAGCATTTTCTTATCCTACTATTACTGAATTAAAAGTGCCATGCATTTTGAATGTGTTTTTTTTTTTTTCTGCATCTATGCAGTGCAAAAACGCGTATTGTGGAGGAGTTGTCTATGTTTGTCTCCGCATTTGCGTCTGTACCGATTTTTCATCTCGAGATCTACAAAAGCTATAAGGCTTTGGGAAGTTAATCTATATGTATGTACGGGCCTCTTTCACAAGATGGACACTCCTCCCCAAGTGGTTCCCATGTACGTGCTCGAGAAAATTTTTTCTAGCTTAAAAAGATAGAAGGCTGGAAATTTAAGGAGATATTCTTCATCCACGCAGAACTTAATGAGTTCAAACCCAGCCCCGAAGTGTGTGTAGTCCTCACATACGGGCCCGTGAAAAGTTACTAACTCGAAAAGCAGAAAAGCAAAAAAGCTGAAATTTCAAGAGGATGTTTTCTCACTGCCATTTGACCAGTCTCAATTCCATTAGGTAGAAGCATCCGCCGGAAAAACCGGCGCCGTCAGCAGCAAAAATCTGCGGGGAATTGTGCAAAAAACGCATCTCCGCACCGGCAACCGGTGCACTGGCCAGTCATTTCCTTATGATATTTCATAAAACAGGCTATATCTGTTTTTAAAAATATTGAATAAAGATGACAATAATAGCAGACACCACTAAACTGTATTCTGTTAAGCAGACTGGGCTCACCGTTGCACTCCCATTTCTTTGGCAATGCGGGCGATCCGTCGGGCTCCCTCAATATGCGTCTCCTCAAATGAGTAATTCTTTGTTTCGCATCTCGTACCGATCAAATTAACAACCACATTGCTGTATCGGATTGCTCGACGGATGCTTTCCTCATCTTTCAGTTGGAAGGGCAAAATAAGCACCTGGCCCAACTCACCATAGACCTGAATAATAGGTCTTCTAGCAAGCTTATGTAGCATTACAATGGCGGAACTAGTTCAGCGTGAAGTGCAACGTCTATGCGGAAAAAGTAACGCTGGCTCAGTGGTACTCAACACATTTGACAGGATATTAACGAATCTAGAAAAAATGCTGAACAATGCAAGATACCAGCGAGAAAAAAAAATACCCTGAAAACAATGAGAAAATAGGTCGAAATGGCACGGAAGGAACTGATTTGGGGATGTATTAGGGGCAATACTGGAAAAAGGGAGTACTCCACTAATTCTAAAGTTTGACCTTGGGAAATGCATAGTGGGCGAACAAAGGAATGTTCCCACTAACGCGAAAGGATCCCCCATGGAATAAGGATGACACTGCCAGCTGCTATCCCGATGATGAGATGAAGCACGACGATGACAGTACGATGAACAAACTATACACAACGGCAATCTCACGCCAGTATGCATTTTTGCATTTGCTTAAATACGCAAAAACTGCATTTTTTCAGTGGGCGAGCGCCCACTGTAAAAACGACCCGACTTCATGCAAAAAACTGATAATCATGCATGCTCGTAATTTATGCGGTCTCACAGTGCAACATTTTCGTCTCAGCCAACGCCCTTTACCCTGCAAAAGGGATGAGGTCAAAAACACAGCCAGTATAAGTCAAAGTGTTAAACTACAGCGCAGGAATTATTCCTGCTATAGCGCTCAGCAAGTTTCGCGCAAAACGCATGGTCGCGTCAGCAAGCCTGGTACGTTGCAGCCTGGATTGCTATTTGGGAAAACTCTTCCTGGAACAAACAACTGCTTTTCGCGCTTCCTGCTCCTGTCCTTCCACCATCTCTTGGTATCGTGGTAATATTCAATACTAATTCAAAAATGGAGCATTTTCTGAACAAGACATGCTGCCAAACAACTGCTTAATAAAAGCCCACCTGTATTCGCCCTCCGTCAGAAGCAAGGTATTCAGTATGCATGTGCCAGTCCTTTATAGGGATGATTAGAAGTAATCTGGGCCATATATTTGTCTAAGACGAGTTAAGCGATACTCACACAGCTGTTTTCTGGAATCATTTACTTTGCATAAAAATAAACAACTCGAAAATGGCTCAACGAACCCTGAGATAGCGAGTGTAGTATGGATCTTGTCTGCTTGGTATGATGATCTGATGGCCTTCTTTGGCGAGCCGATTAATCAGCACTTTGCCCAGCAGCCCGGTGCATCCAAATACAGTGACCACATTGCCCGAAAAACTGCATCGCCCACCTGTTCCCTGAAAATCACAAAAACCAAATATGCAGAATGAGGTCTTGCAACTATTCAAAGTGTCTATACTCTGAACCTAACAACCGGGGAACCTGCTACCACATATTTTAAGGCATTCTTAAGTGAAAAGGATCCAAAGCAAAAACAGAAAAAGCCACAATCGATGGAAATCGAAAAAAAAGCGTCAAGCATCTCGCTATCATGCCAGGAGTTTTAATGAACCAGGCTTCAACAGAAGTGATACCGATGATATATGTGTAATAAAATGGTACCTTTCGGAAAGCCGCCAATGTGCTGGTCGTGTCAGTT